TGAACTGCAATTGTATTACAGTGATGTTATCAATAGGACTACTGTGTTTTCTCTTTAGTAAAATACTTGAGAAATATACTTCTTATCTGCATGCTGATATCTGTATTTCTCTGCTGGGAACTAATTTAAACACTTCATGAGAGACTGACATTTTCAGTGCCTTAAACATCCTTAAAAGCTGCTTTGTTCATTGCAAACCATATTTAGTGTGACCTCATAATAATGTAGCATACCTCAAGTGTCATGCCTGTCTTTACTATGCACATTGGAGCTGTGTTCATCTATACTAGACAACTGCACTTCAAGGAAAGATTTTATTTTTCTTGATAGGCAATTAGCAGTAATTAGGAAGATTCACTTCAGTAAGATGTCAACATGAGATTATTTTTAAAAGTTGAATGTCAGTGGCTTTAAAAAGATTTTTTTTTCCCTGACACATAGGTATGGCATGTGGAACATGAAATGTTAATTTAACTTTTCTGCTTATTATTCATGCACAATATTATTTTGTCATTCATATACTACACTGTCAGAGTGCAAAGGGTGTTAAAATAGTGCTGCTAGAATAAAAAGAGGATTAATCTACCATTGGCCAATTAGCCAAAGGGTACTTAATGGTCTCTAAAGGCTACTGAAGTCTAACAACTAGCTAAAGCACTGGCAAAAAGTCCTCTATCTTACCTTCATTTACTTGACATTTTGTGAAACAGTCAGCTGCTGATAATTGCATTTGGCTAAAAGGAAAAAAAATATAACTGAGTGATGCAGTAGATTCTCCTAAAATTTCAGAATAATAAATTATGAGTAACTTCTAAATTTTAGAACTTTTTCTTGGTTTGGGGGTTCTTTGTTTCAATTTATGGATAGGATATTAAGTCACCAAAGACTTCTGTTTCATATTTAGTCTTCATGTCTAGAATACTAAGTAATCAACCACTTACAGCACTTGCATGAATAAAACTTTCACTGAGGATTTGGAGTTATTTGCCTTTTCTCTATATGATCACATTAAGTATGCAACACAGTTGACTTTTTAGCCTAGTATATATATTTTCATATTACCAGATAGCTACACATCATCTTTATTAATTTTAGCTTTTTTTTGGTTATCTATCACGCAGAGTTACATTTTTATAAGAGAACAAAACTGGGTCAAGATTAGTGGGACTGACTCAAGAAATTTTGCCTTGGATATTGTAAATAAGTTTATCATTATATTATAGTAACATCTGATAGAGTGTGTAAAATCATAAATACCTAACTTTGTTCCTGCACATATGTTTTGAAAAGTTCTTCCATGGTTTATGTGTGCAACAAGTACTGCTTATCTTGTATATTGTTCATGATCAAGCTAAAGCTGTGAGAAAATAGCATTCTATTTAAAACCTTCAGATAAACAGTAATGGATTTTAAAGCAAAACCTGGTACAGTAGCTATGCATACAGCAAATGTATTTTATTAACTACTGTCACAAGGTTTCTTAGGAAAAAAAAGGCCTATGTTGACTTAAGATTTCTTACACACATGTCTATGCACACTGTAATGTTTTCATCTGCAAGGATTTTAGGATGGGAAGCTTCATAGTAAATAATGATTTTTACACATCTGAATATATTTATGTTGGTTATAGTTGAATCACAAAATAAGTGTTAAAATAAGGTTATATCATTGCTTAAAAATTGTTTCAATAATACTTGATTTACATCCTATTTTATAATTTTGCCTAGAAATACATTCTGTATAACAAATTCTGCAAATATAAATCTGTGGGATTGTGTACAGCAGTAGTAGTGCAACAGCAGCCACCACCAACAGAAATGTCATTTTTCATAGATGCCAGCTGCAGTAGGAGGGTGACTCTGCTGTAAACTGAACTAGAAGCAGCTCACAGGGTTGTTGTGATGGCAAGGAGCAATATGCCATTCCAGGAGCTTTCTACATTAATCCATTGGGCCTTCCATGCAGCCGTCTTTATAAGCAGAAGGCTTATGGTAAAAAGCCTTGCTGAGTCACTGGAAGTTTTACATTGACTACATAAAAACTGAGATTTCATCACTTACCCCTTTGTGTACAGCGGAACAGAGTGTCATGGGTATACCAGGAGCAAGGACATTAAGAGAGATGGATGTTAAATATTAAATCTGTAAACATCTGTTAAGCCAAAACACTCTGGAGGAGGTGCAGCAGACAAAGGCCGCTGCATCATGGAGGAACAGCAGTAGCCTGCCTTTACCAGCATCTGGTCTAGCTGATCTACCTTTCATCCTGGTGACCTCTTCCCTTGGAGTAAATCCTTTTTACTCTGTCACTCAGAATTTGTGTGCATGTTAGCACATACACAAAAACTCCCTGTGTTGAAAAGGATAAAAGAACAAAAGGCTTGACCTAAAACTTAGCAAGTGGTGAGGGACAGCAGGGCAATGAACTTGCTTCTTAAGTAAGTAAATGCAAGGAATTTCTTTTAGGTGTACATGTCTTGCCAGGGCAGGAGGGCCGTTTTTCACATCCTACATAGATTTATATAGAATTTTCATACACCCTTTCAATATATTGTAAATAGAAGAACAATGTAGAAGAATTATCAATACAGTAACACCATTAATGTTATCTACAGAGCTGCTAAGAGGTCAGCCTTCTTGATATCTCTGTTTGCAATTGTGTGTCTGCCTTTGTCTACTTTTGCAAGTTGGGGAATGTTTTTCTTGTGCATCATATACTACTTTCACTTCACTCTCATAGTTCTGAATTTATGTACACATATATTTTAAATGTTTTTTCCTACCTCTTCACTTAAATAAATTCTATAACCAATATAACACTGTCCTCTTTGGTACCTGTCCCATGAAAACCTTTTCTTGTTCAACATATTTGCTGTTATTTTTGGGAATGTGGCCTCTGCAATCATGGCATTTTAGACCAGATGCATTTTGGTGGCAGCAGTGGCCTGAGAAACTTCTGAGAGTCACAAGCTGTCTTGAGCAGACATGGGGGCATTTCTAATTTTAATCAGATATATCGATCTAGTTATGATTTTTTGTGTGTTTCTTTTTAAGAATAATTTATCATTGAAACACGGAATCATGAAGTTCTGCACTTAGAAATATTGGCTATGCTGGACAAATTAACCTAATCCTTGTATCTCTCTATGCTGTATCTTTCTGTACTACTACTGGTTTTGCTTATGAAAGTAGCCTTCATTTTGTCTTTTATTCAGACTGTATTAATTGTGAGAATAATATATCAGACTAACGAACAGCCAGTTAGAAAATACATTAATACTATTTATTTCTTGTTCAATAATGACAGCAGACACAGAAGAGAATGGAAAGATTAACCCCTTTACTAAGAACAGCACTTATCTCAGATAAATGTGCAAACTGCCCGGTGGCTTTAATAAATGCACTTAAGTGTGAAATACTGCTAGAGTTTTAACTTTAAATACAGGCTGCATTTTCTTATATCCATGATATTTTCTTAAGCTAATGCAAAATCTACAAGCTTTCTCATGGCATTCATAATGAGAATAAACATGACTATAAGTAGTTTTTCATTTATTTGCATATATATGTGATCTTCTGATGATTGGTATGGAAGTGTGTATGTATATAAACGCATGTATATAAAAAGTTTTTTCTAATAACCTTAAACAGTATAAAATCTAGTTTTCAGTTAAATAATAATATGCTTAACCTTCTCGCCCATGCTTTTTTGTGTACCAGCATATAATTGGGCACACAGTTAATCATTTAACGCTGTAGTATCTTCCCCAGTTTCTTACTGGGATTCTTCGCAAAGGAAGTTTTTTTTGCCCTTAGAGAGATTTCAGTACCCTTTTTTATAATTGTTCCTTATGTTAAACTACCATATTACAATCTTCTTTTGGAATAGTACTGTAGTTACCCTCTTACAGAGCAAAGACTTGTTTGTACATTGGTGGCTTTTGGCTGACTACAGATTCGTGGAAGTTAATCACTAGGATGAAGATTTTTTTGAGTTCTCCTTTTCACAGAAGAGCATTCAGTATTTTTTAAATTAAAACAAGATTTATCTAAAAGATTACCTCTATAAGGAGTACTGTGAAATATATTGTCAACATAGACTGAATAAGTCTTGTCAATTTTCAATCAAGTGCAACAAGACTGAGAGTTTGTTTGCATGTTATTTATTTGAACTAAATCCCTAACAAGCCTCGTCTGCTAATTGGACTTAGCATTTATGTTGCTAAATGAGAAGCATTTTGGCTGCAGTATAGGGTGGTAAGACCTACCCAGTGGAATAAACAGCTAACATCTGTTATCCTGTCCTGCTCCAGCTTGGCTTTTACCACTTAAGCACCTCAGCCCTAGAGTCAAGGTTATGGAATATGTGGTTCTCTGGCTATGGTGCGTATATGTGATAGGGAAGAAATAACACAACATGAGTAAAGACCAGCCAACCAGAAGATATTTAGTGCAGCTGGTCCACTTTGCTTTAACCTCTACAAGCCCTACAAATATCGAAACTAAAGCCAAGAGGAGACTGTATGTTTTATAGCAGTAGTCAACACAGCAATTCAAGTGAGCTTACAGTGGTCACCATTAAAACATTTGACCGCCTTTAATATGCATTGGTGTCTGAGACAACTTGGTATTTCATGCTCTGTGTAGAAATAATTGCTGAATCCCAGAGAGGCTCTAGGTAAACAAGTTTCAACAGTAACTACTGTTACAGTTTTGTATGATTATTTTTGCCCATCATGGTAAAAATAGCAATGTGTACTGTCAAAATGGAATTATCTTGCCTTTTTTAAAAAATGGCTTGTTTTTAATCTTAGTTGACTTCCCTTTCCTGCTAGATTTGATCTTTGCTTGAAGAATTCAACCAACAGCTATGCAATATAATTACAGATAGTATATACTATTTCATTGCTCTTGAATTCTGAACTAGAGAAGCATCTCATATAATCAAGCAGAAGTATTTCTCAGATGCAATTGTGATTGTTTCTTCTGTTTGTAAAACAGGTGTTGACCTCCAACCTGGCCAAGTGGCAACAGGAGAAGGAAGATTTACAAGAAAAATTGAAGTTGAGAGAACATCTGTCTCAAACTGCTGGCAAGAGTGAAGCCACACCAACTCCTTCAAAGAACATTGATTTAGAGATGAAACAGCTGCAGTGCGAACTAAAGGTGACAGAACAGATTATCTAGTGCTGAGGATTATTCATTTGAACAGTATTTCTTAACTGGGTCAAGCAGATATACGTATACTGACATATGCATGCCATTTATATATCTTAGCCAATCATTAGCAACTTAGGTGTTAGATAAACTTTGATGTTTAGTAGAAATGTAGTCATAAGCAGGAGAATTAGGAGTTAGAATTGAAATTTTTTGCAGATCAAATAGGCCAGACAGGGAGACTTGCTAGGTTTTTACACAATGACTAAATTAGTCTTTTTGGAAAGTGCTGTGGAATTGCTTCAACGAGAATGTGTTTATTCCTTGCTTTATTTAAAAAGGACGTAGCAATAGCTATCTGTGAAAGGGGAGCAAAGAATTTGTGCTAATGGGGCAGGTCATATAACAGTCCTATGTTACCTGTATGCCACTACTATTCTTGTCTTCAAAAAGACATCATTCTTTTTTGTATTTGTATTTTTGCAGATTAGCTGGTAAGATAACATTAGCTTGTCGGTGATTTAATTTTTAAGTCTCCAATGCTTCTGTTATGTGTGTATGATGTAGATGCTGGACTGTGTTGATCTGAGAGCTTTTTTCAGCAGGTGGCCTGGCTCCTCTTTTCTTACTGGAGAAATATACGTACAACAGAATGTCTTAAAATTGTTTTTTCCGTCATTTTGCGTTTAATATTAGAGGAAAGAGAAAAGGTCAAAATGGTACAGCTTCTTGGTGATAGAAGAAATGGCACATGAGCAAGCTGTCTGTCAAAGAATCAACTGGAAGAAAAGGCCATGTTACAAGAGCGATATTGCTGGCTCTGGCTCCGCGTATTGGATTAGCTGTGCTAGCACACAGGATGTGGGTAGTGCTCAGATCTCTTAGCTGTTGATGGTAATCAAGGTATTACAGATCTTGGCTGTGGCACACTGGATGCGTAACATCTAAATTCAGGGATTAGTAAAGGTAGGTCACATTGCTAAAATGATAGGGGCAACAGAGAGTAGCCATGAAAAGGAATATAATTTGATGTATTTTAATAGTGAGAGAGAGATCTTGAAACCATACACACTGACTTCTTGAGTGTTGATTTTAGATTTGGGTTTGACTAATCTTCGTCTGTTGCTGGTGAGTGGATAATTTCTGTTTATTAGTGTTGTTCCTTTTAGATGAGTGTCCCTTTTATCCAGAAGCCTATTAGTCAATTGCTTTACAAAATGGGAATTTTTTTAAAAATACTTCCAAGAGTAACACTCATGTCAGAAGCCTACTTTATTTGTGGGCCAGATGTGAACTGCAAAATATATTGCTGAAAAATCAGAGAGGTTTTTTTGTTTCTGCAGCAAAGGAAACATACATAAAGCATATATAAATCTGATGTCAAAAATACTAACGTGACTTTTAATTCCTTCTTGAAGATGTACTACATCTTCAATATAAAAAAATAAACCTTGTATGTAAAACTACATTTAGAATAAACATAGTCTGTGAACCCAAATCCAGCTTAGGAGAGTAAACTCACTGGTTGCTGAATTGGATGAGATTTTTGACTATAAGGGCCTGAAAAGCTACTTAAGTCAGTGGAATTCTCAGCCTTATTTTGACCTAATAATTTTTCAAAAATTTAAGTTCTGCAAGTCATTTTTGGCAGAAGAAATTGGCAAAGTTGTCAGCTATTGTTCCAGGCTATCTAGCATAGATGCAGTTATTCTCCTAAATGTCTGAATGTGGCAGCAGCAAAAGCTTTCCTTATAGCTCGAAATCTCTAAGTACCTGGGTTTGTGAGTTTTTTGTTGGTTTTTTGTTGTTTTTTTCCCTCAAAGCTATCTTTGCAGTGTTTATTTGTGTTGTATATAATGAGTCCTTGTATTTTTGCCAATATGAAGAAATGTGTTAGATGTGGGTAGTGAGTTTGGAAGCAAAATACTGTAAGCATATGTCTTTGCCTCTGAGCATGTGCAGAGGTGCCCCTAAGTATTCAAGTTATATCTGGTATGTAAACCATGTATCTGGGTGCTGTGCTTCCTGCTAATGAAGCTCAATCTCAACAAACAGGTCTTGGGAAACACAGGATTATTCTGATAGCATATAACATTTTAACAATTTTTGGGTTATACCTCACATTATAATAATAGTAAATAAACTGGACAAGATTAACAGTATTTTACTTCTAACTATGCACATAAGAATATATGCTCCCCTTGAGGTGCACGGAGTTATGTACAAGACTCTATTAATGTTAATAGGCATTACTAAGTCTGCACTGAGCAGAGAAATTCTCCTAAAGTATCTTTGTTTATAGCATATCTGATCTGTTTGCATATTTTTCTACATAATGAGTAAAAAGCTTTAGTACAGTGCCTGAAACTGAATGCATGTATGCACACATATATATTGTGCATACACTTAATGCTTATGTATCTTTTGTCAATACCTTTCTGAGTTCTGAAATTTCCATATGCAGTATGTTTGAGCTGCCATTTTCAGCAACGGCATTCAATGCATATGCTCAGATAGCTAAAATGGCTACTTAAATTTCATATTTTTTTCCATAGAGTAATTAAGTTGTTCTGTATTTAAATCTTGTTTAGATTATCTGTGTGTTTACCTGGAGGAATTGAGACTTTTTTTTCTTACTTGCCTACAATATACAGTGTTGGAAAGGCCAACAACTGTACAATTCTCCTTCACTGGAATTACGTGTGCATGAAAATTAGAATTGTATCTTTTTGTTACTGAAATATAGGATTTTTGTTAGTATGGCCAAATGGAAATATCTTTGTCTTGTGCTTTGAGTTTCAAGGGAGACAAAAACAACTGCTGTTGTGGATTGTCGTACATTTCTAAATGCAAAGGTGATAGAAATTATTAGAAATTGTTGTCCTATAGATGTAGCCCCTTGTGCTGTAGAAATACACCATTCAAGGTTGTAGTACAAATTAAGATCTAATTTTATTTCTCTTCTTTTCTGTTACCTTTTCAACTGACCATGCTATGCAAGAGAAAATGTGGTCTTGATAGGGGCACTGGGCTTGCAGGTGTCCTGGAGAATATATCTTAATCATATATTATTAAAACAATGGCAAAGTACTGATTTTTATATTTTCCAAGGAATGCACTTCTGCTTAAGTGTAGGTAGAAAGTAAGAATGTTCATTTTGTACCAATTAATGTCTAAGAACATTTGTAAAATATGTGGAAGTTTACACAGCCCGTTGTTTCAAACAAAATTGCTGTTTACTGCAATCATATTCAGCATGCTTTGTTTATATTTTAATATTTTTCAATATAGAATTCAAATAATGAAATCGCTAAGCAATCAACCATCATTAAGTCACTAAAAACCGAAGTCCAGGAGAAAGAAGAGCAGATTAAGGAACTACAAGCCAGGTATGTTCACTGTTCTAGTCATTGTGTTTGGTGCCACCCAGTGGCAGGGGTTTAATTGTTACAACGTTAACCATTCTTAATAGATTTTTAAGAGAATATTTTATTCTTCTTTTTACTGTAATCTTCAAGAGTGTTACAGGCTGGGACTTTTAGAAACTGGAGCAGTACATGCTAGAATTGCATTTTGTTTCAACTGATGAGTGATTAGCTAGGCACAGTAGCTGTATGGCAATAAGAATACCCAGACCCTAGAGTAGACTATTTTATCCTTGATGTAAGTCTAAATGAATTCTTCAGCATTGTTAAACACAGTCTTTCAGATACAGTAATTCTTTGCCTAAAGGGTAAGAGACATGTCAAGGTTCAGATGCTTAAACAAGATTAAATATCCAGTCTTATACTCAGGAAAAGTTCAAAAGGACAATTGTATTTGTTTCTATTTGAATTGATTAAGGTTTACTACTCAGTTTGTAATTCACATGTATTGCTGTGAAGTATGCAACTGAGATTTTTTTCTACCTATTTTAGCTAATACAATACTGTTCTTCAATTATATTACTATATAAATAGAACACGTTAGTGTATCTGTTAATTTCTTGCCTGTCCCACATTTTTACTCCTCTAACCATTCTGATTTTTTTTTCTTGTAGAAAGAATGCAGTTTAATTATCTGAAATTAGTTCATTTCAAAAGTAGAGAAGACTTAAAATTGTTAAATTATACATTGTGTATTTTATATTTCAAAATGAAACTGAATTTTTCCACCATTAGACTTGAACTTTTATTTAAAATATTTACTGGTTATCATGTTCCTTTATAGAATAGATACTGTTTTTTCATAAACTGTAAGATATAATCACCAAAATAACATTACTCAAATAAATGTGAAATAGATGCAAGAAATTTTAAGATGCACTATTTTCCTGGGTTTTTTTAGTATAGTATTGACATGGTATTAACAGTCTTTTATTCCTGAACATTTTACCATCATTTTGCTCTGATTAAAAAAAAAAACCAGAAATCTGGATGTATTCAGCTATTGCTTTTTTTTTAATATATAAAATACTAAGGGTGGAAGCAATGTACAAGGCATAATTTTCTTATTGAAGAGAGATTGTGTTGTAGTACATTAGAATTTCTTTTTTAAGAAGTTTTTGAAAAATGCAGATGTTGTTTGTAGGTTTCGCAGGTTTTAATAATTATTCTCTTGTCTGACAATTCTCTTATCTGACATATTATAGGTATACAGAGTTTTCATGTATTTCAGTTGCATACAAGGAGACTTCTATCTTTTTAAAAGAATTTTGTACGAAATAGTGTTTGAATGACACCTGATTCAGACATCAATGAAATTTAATGTAAATTTCTATTTTCAACAGTTTTTTGCCTTTGATAATAGCTTAAGAATAATTACTGTGATTTCAAATCAGACAAGTTATACTGTAAACGACGGCAACAAGCAAATCACAAATAAATTGCATATTTAGAAAGAGGTCTGTTTAATAAGAGACTTGAAACTGGTTTTAATGGCTGGGGATAGGGTAAATAGCAAGAATTGCATCAGCTTTTTTAAAAAAATATATATGTAATGCTACAGAAATGATAGTTTGTCTACTGCATTTATACTTCTTAGTTGTTCTATTGTATATTAGCAGTATTTTCTAAGAGAGATATGCAGCATGACTTCTTCCCTTCTAGGATTTCTCGATTGGAGAGGGACCTTAATATGAAAAGACATTTGATAGAAGAATTAAAGTCTCGTCTAAAAGTAAATCAAGAAAATGAGAAAACCTCTAATGAAACATTAGAAAGTCTTGAGAGAAAGGTACTTCTTTCTAGCTATTGATAGTTTTAGGAAAAGCAAAAGCTGGATATATTATTATTATTATTGAAGTTATTTCAACACACTATACATACTAAATCAATATATTGCTTTAAGGAAACAACATGCAGTTAATTTAAAGATGTAATTCCATCCACTATAATTTCTATGAAATCAGTATATGGTGATAGCTTGGATGTATTCAGCATAATTTAATGTATGTTCATAAGAGGTGTAATTAAATATTAAAGTATTCAGAACACTGAGTTACAAGGATATGCTGTAAGTAGTGAGATTTAGTTTTATGCACTGTAAAGTCATAAAATACAGTAGACCTGAAACAAAGGTGATTTTACATGACATATGCTAAAGAAGTGCACACACCTCTCCTGGCTATAGTAAAAAAGTTAAATGCTTTAATATATTAATGTGTTGTCCATTGCAATGTTATGAATGATTCACTATTCTTAGCTTAATGTAATTCTGTCTACATAGGCAGAGCTTAATTTCTTTAGCAAATTATTTTTTTCTGCAAAATTCTAGGACAATTTCACTGTATCCGGAACAACTTGTATATTTTTTGGCATCTTCATGTATTATCCAACATATGTATTGCACTTTGGTGTTTAATTCCAGAAAAGGATTATGATATTTGGTTGTCTGTGAGGTTATGCAGTTTATGAACTGCAAAATAGGAATAAACCATTTACCCATTTGCTTTTGTTTTCCTAGAATGCAGGTGCTTGCTAAGAACCACAGGCACTATTTCTGCTTGCAGTCATAAAGCATTTTCAGCTCTAGAGAGAGCTACTCTCTTACCCTCCCTGCCAAAGATAAGGTGTAACTAAGAAATCTGCAGCCAGAGATTGAGAGCTTAAGTAAGCAAGGGACCTAAGTATGAACTTAAATAAATACCTGATTTTGGACGAAACCTTTAGAATGGAACAATGTACTTCAATGCTGTTCTTTGAGTATTTTAAGCACTGCATTTCTCTGATTCCAGAGAATCAAATTCCATACATTAAATTGATTATTCCATGTGGAAAATCAATGTGATAAATTTTACATTATCTTCAGCAGAAGATCAAAGAAATTCCCTATTACTCAACATTGTCGGGAAAACTTAGTGATTAATACTGTCAGGAGAGGTGAATGATTTTCTACAAGCATTAGTCTATTTCATTTTATCCAAAATCAGTGTTAGCATTGTATGGTAAAATTATAATAGTTATCTAAGAGGGCTTATAGACTATTAACTTGTAGGACAGTTATAATTTTCTCAGCTGAGTTTTAATTAATGCCTTTACCTCTGATAGAAGAAATGAGTTGAAGTTTTATTTGCTCACTTTAGCATGCATTGTAATAGTAAAATATATAAACAAACAGCTCTGCAGATGAAGATCTTTTCTTTACACTTTATACAAGTCAAGCGTTTATACATATAAACAACATTGTGTGCAAACTGATCTCTGCTGGATCAGCAGTAGAGATTTATTAAAGACTGTTCTTTCATAAAAAGAATAATTTTAATAATTTTATATATAATACAGGTATGTTTATGCTATATATTTCAGTTTAGTTTTAATTTTATTTTCATTTTAAAGTTTTGTATATTAATATTCAATTGCTTTTGACCGTTCAATATTTCAGATAAAGGCACTGACTGAAGACTGTACAAACAAAAAAAGTTCCATTGACTTACTGAAACAGAGACTTAATGTAGCTACAAAAGAGAAGTCTCACTATGAGCAGTTGTATCACAAGGCTAAAGACGAGTTGGAGAAAAAGGTATATTAGAGTTGTGATGGCTCCACTGTGGAGCCTTTTCATACTTCCAAATGAAAAGTTGTAAGGTCATCCGCTTAGAATTTTCAAATATAGAAAGGGAAAAAAGAGCAGAATAATAATGATGTGCTTCTCTGATTTAATTCATTCACATCACTGAAATTTAGATGCTGAAACATGGACGTAGACTAAAAATAAAATTACTTTTTGCCATGAAATTACATTTTATGTGTTGCAAATGGAATGTTTTGTGATGTTAACCATTGTGTGGAGAGGTTGGTTTGTTCATTCGTTTGTCTGTGTTCTACCATACCTGCCTATCAGCTTTTATTATATCACTGCTGTTTCTTTGTGGATGTATTTCAGGATCTCAAGATTACCAATCTAGAGAGCAAAATGATTGAGACTGAACGTGCCATGACTGAACTTGAAACTGCTGCATATGAACAAATACATGACTTGGCTAAACAGAGTGAGCAGGCCTTGGAAATTGTACAGAAGAAACTACTGCTTACCAGTGACAAAGTGGAGGAGTTCATGAGATTTGTGAAGGTTTAAGTTTTATATTCTTTTGAGTGTTCACCTAAATTCTTGAGTGAAAGAAAAATGTAAAAGATTAAATGAGGCTAATCTTTGGTGCATTCTCAGTTCTGGAACAGTCTTTGAAGTTTCTTCACTAACCTGGTGTCAGTTCTGAAGTGGTCTAGACAGGGAGGAGTCAGTGGCCTAGGCCTCTCTCCTAGAATTTGTAGAGTTCCATAATTTTTATTGGTCATATTTTGTATATGGCTGCCAGTTTACTTGTTCCAAAGGATAAAGTGCTTAGTTGTATAGCACATTACCCTGCAGAAAAGAATTTCTCAACACATTTAAGAAAATAATTCATATCTTCTCATTAGTGTGAATTACCTAATTTTCCATATGCATTGCTTTTTATTGGAGAAGTATGAAATAAGGAAGACTCTATATTGCAAAATTGAAAGCTATTTTAAAAGCACTATGTAAAATATTCTTTTCTTATATTGGCTAAATACTTAACAGTCCGCTACAGTGCATCATGCAATAATACTGTCTGTGGTGTTACACAGGTTGCTTCATCATAGTACATCAATGTGAAGTTCTGCAGAATGAATTCATCTGTGTTTTGTAACTTAATATTTGAAATACAAATGTTTATTTTTCTGAAATATCCACCACGTAACTAAGAACTGTAAAGCCTATTCAGTATATATGTGTCTTGAATTCAGTTTATATCTACTATCTACCTACTTTCAGGCAAGATTCTATCTTACTAACTCATGAAACAGATCCACTTCTCCACTGTTCTTCGATTTCTGTATGGAGGAGCTGCTTTCAGATACATTTGGGCAAATCTGACTGCATCCAAAGTAAAGAGCAGTGGTATTTTGATGCACTGTAAGAAGGAAGCATGCATAGTTATCTCTTAATGAATAATATTCCAATGTGGATTGAAATTTAGTGATTTAAGTACTTGGGCATTTTAGCTTTGTTCTGTCATCAACAGATAACAAATCACTCTACAACCATCCCATGTTCAGTTTAGTTGCAAACTTCACATCGACTTCATTATGAAAAAAGTCTGAACAATATTGAATGCAATTCTATATTCAAAGAATTTATAAGCTAAAACATCTATGGTGAAAATTACTTTCATTTAAAAAATAGGCCCGTTATTTAAAAAATTAGTTCTTTTATTTTTTTAAGTTTACTATTAAAATAAAGACTATCTCCTGTTCACCTTGTTATGTAACCCTTGGGAAAGCAGTGTAAAACTGATCACTGTGTCCCATGTTTCAGAAGTATCTCGTCTGTTCTTCACAAAATGTGTTATTTTTGAGGCAAGGGGAATGTGCTGTCTTCTAATACATAATGTTTCCTCTAAGAGAAAGAAATGAGTGTTCTTTCCACAGCTGCATGCTTGTTTTTGGCAATATATGGGAAAATCTGAATTAATCTAATGTATTATCTATTTTTTAAAATTAAATACTCCAATGTCATTGATCACAGAGACACAATCCAGTCTCCATTCAGGCTGCTATGTATTTTTTAATTACTTAATTGAATAAACTGCAGTAGCAGTTGTAGTCAAAGGATATAAACAAGTGTTCATACTGTCAATACTTTACATACATAATGAAAAGTTTGTCAAAAATTAGGAAATGGGAAAGTAAAAGATCTTCTGTTCTCAAAAGTAGATGTAATGAAGACAATCACCTGTTAGCAACTATAATAGTTCATTTGTTGTGAGTAAGATGACTGCTTCTCTGTTAGTTACCATGAATATTCATTAGTATTTACGGGGTTGTACTGTATGTGAAAAGAATGTTAATATGTAGTTTCTCTACAAACAAAATAATATTTAGCTCATAAAGCTAAATATGTAGTTTTTCACTTGGATAAAAGAATATGAATGCATATTTCAAGTAACATTTTTGCTGACTACTGTTCCTCTGCAGAAAGATTTTTTGAAAATAAAGATGCTGTCTGTAAGTCAAATATTGATGAACAGGGAGTTCCTCAGTAGGCTGCTTTGTTTAGTTAGGTACTAAATATTTATGGAAAAATGTTCTCTGAAATCAGATTTTATTCACAGCATACCGCTGTAAAAAATATAGTTGAAAATCCTTGGCTTTTCAGTGGAATTTAGTGGTATATCAAGTAAATCCTGTTAAAATATTTCTTACGTATCTGATGCTATAAACTACATAGAAAGATGGAGGTGGCACAACAAAAAGTAGCAGTACTTCTTCCTGCACCAGCTTTTTCTTTGAAGTCTGGTGTGTCTCATTTCTACCCTCTCCTTCGGGGTGCTGTCAGTTTCCCCTGACCTTGGTTCTCACTCAGGTTTCAGTAACTCAAATAAGTTTTTCTTTATAGAGATAAAGTTTAAGCTGTCTCTTACTTAACCTGTTTAACATATTTGTATGACCCTCTTATCTTTGTCTGCTGTTCTGATAACTTCACAAGCCTTACTTGTTTTTCTGAGTGCAAGTGTAATCTTCTCATTAATCAATTGAATGCAGTTACTTTTTTGAGCCATTTCATGTCTCTCAGGACATTATATAGTTCTTTTGTTTTAAGATACAACAATTAAATCATTTCAGCATTGCTAATTAATAGCACAGCTAATAATAGGACAGCAGAGGAACTCAGAGAAGAGGGTGAGTCTCTTTCTGTTTAGCACAGACGCTGTTACTTGCCTTTAGAGCTATTGATAACTCACAACCACGGGATCTTGAATCCATTTGGATCAATGTACTAAGTTACAAGCCTGGGGATGAGGTTTCTGGCAGGAGACTGCTATAGACCACTGAATGAAATTAGAGGATATGATGAGTTACTGAAAAAACATATTTGTAATGTACAATAAAGCACTGCATTGCTATGAGGAGCCCAATTCAGGACACTTACACAACTGACTAAAATGGCAGGATTTTAAAATCTAGTAATGGTTTGTAAAAAATGTGAAAGAAATAATTACAAACAAATGTTGCTGTATGCAATGTGTTGTAAGTACTTATTGGACTTATTTTTGTTGGAGCGTGGTATAGGGATCAGGTGTTATGTCCTGAATGATGTTCAGTGGGAACCAACAAGGCACCTAAAATAGGTTGATTCAGAGCAACTCATTTTGCCAAAGCTGTTATGAGGAAGATATAGGCTAGTGGAAAACACAAATAGAAAGTGTGCTCTGTAACGTATTAAGTGCCCATATTAAGTAACCAAAAAACCACAGGTCCAAAATTAGAGGACAGCTTCTTATAAATGTCTATTTCAGTTTGATAGGAATGAGAACACAATATTTAGAAATAAAAAGGCAATATAAAGAAAGTGGGAAATGGATTATAGATAATAACCTGAAAATATGAGCAGCAGTAGAGTTTGAAGGATAGAGAAGAGGCTAAAGACATCAGGTTGAAATCTGTGGGTAGCAAGGCCAAGAGCAATAGTAAAGGGCCAGGATTTAAAAATGTTCTAGTAATAAGATAGCTATTACAGGGTGAATTGACCCACTATTAGATAAAACAACTCTGTAACTGCGTAAAGATTGAAATCTTGTATGAATATTTCTGCTTTGTATCTAGAAAGAAGTAGGCTGATGTTATATGATGATGATGAAACATCTCCAGTCTATTAGTAACTATTGGAAGATTGTAAACAATTTCTAGAAAGAAGTAGTATTTTTAAATTGAGAAATTTTATGGCTTACGACTTTATAGGGCTGGTTAAGGAATTTTTCTCTTGCTGATCCTCATTTTGAATAAGTGTTTAAACTAAGTGTATATATACTATACCATGAGTATAGTCTAAAAGAATGATAATATTGAGTGGATATTCAGAAAAGGCAGTCAGAATAGGTATTTTTAGGTCAGTTAGTCTGATGTCACTTCTGGCTACAATAACGAAAACCTGATATGAAATTAAATTATGAAAGTTTTAAAGCATAGGAGTATAGTTGTACTTCTTAGAATGGCTTTATGGAAAATAAGATGCATTTCCTGGATGGCAGAAGTTGGTTGATAAAGGTTACTGTTCATTTTACTATGCTGGTTTTTAAGATGTCTGACCTAACACTGAGACATTCAGATATAAAATGTAGGCTATGCAATATCAGTAATATGTTAAATGGATTAAAAATGTCCTCTGCGATTGATCTGGAAAGTTATTAATGAAATTTAGGTGTTTCTAGAGTTCTGTAAAGATCAAAGCTTAACTTAATTATTAAATATTTTCACAGAATTAGATATCAGATCCTGATAAAATTTGTTAAGGGCATTTATGTTGTCTGATAAATAATAATGAAAGTATGACTGTAAGTATAGTGTAAGCTAGAACCAACAAAATATTTTTATTACAGAAGAACACAAACTATAATAGGGCCAGGTGGCCCTGAGAGTATTTTAGATGCCTTTTATAAAGCTACATGTTTTCATCCCATCCAGCTTCCATCAGCAGCATAAATTCCCTTTGAACCATGGAGCCAATTTCTATAACATAACATTATTCATTTTTTTCTGTAACATGCATTACACTATTGGATCCTCAGGTAAATCTTACCAGTTGTGGGCAGCACTGCAGCCAGAACAAAATTTTCTTTGTAGTGTTTGTGGTACCTGTGAAAACACATGCAGAAAAGTGGCATTGGATAAAGTTAAAAAACTGCTATTGGACTACTTGACTGGATGTCTATCAAAAATAGGGTATAGCATACCTGTTTACTGTGAAAACTTTTGGGCATAATTTACTATGTCAAAAAACCTGCCTAATTCTGTTTTCTTGCATTCCTGTACTTCTTTTTACTTTAGCTCACCTAGACTTTGATTGTATATTGCCATTACAGACCCTTGTAAGCTCAATACTCAGTAGTGTTGTCTATCCCTTTCAACTTGCACATCAACAGAACTTGTAAGTTAATCTGCAGTGACGACATCTGCCTGAGTATGAAAATATCACATCTTTTCTGACCTTGAGAAAGATGTTTTGAAGTTTTGATAAGGCACCTATGTTCAGCTGTGTCTGTAATAAGTAGGTGATGG